ATTCACCAGGGCTTGTAATGCTTTGAAGATATATCACTGCCCCAAATGCCTTCTCGGAGGCATCCGCAAATCCCTGTAAAATGAGCATTGAAAAGGTCTCTTTTAAAATGCAACGAGGTACTTGTATATTTTCTATACTCTGAAGAGTTTTAATAAGCACATTCCATTCATTGGCAAGAGGTGGTGGTAACTGTTCCGCCCAGTCTAGCTTAAGCAACCAAAGTGCTTGCATGAATATCTTTGCTTTGCTAATAATAGAACCGAGTAGGCCTAAAGGATCATATAATCTCGCTATTTGAGATAAAACATCTCTTTTCATAACATCAGGCTTTTCATTAACAGTAACTTTATATTGCAGTGTATCCTTCTTATTATTCCACAACATACCTAACGTCTTCACAGTTGTATTACTATTACGATCAAATGAAAAATTCTGTAAATCAGAGTTCTGAGAATCAAAACTAGTACACCACTTGTGTAGCTTCATTCCTCCTCTTTGGAGCAATTCTGTCAAATCTTTCTGGAGCTGAATGCATTCCTTCAAATTCGAAGATCCAGTAAGACAGTCGTCTACATAGAAATCTTCCAAGACGACTTTCGATGCTACAGGAAAATCCTTTTATTCATCCTTCACTAACTGTTGAAGAGTCCTTTGTGCCAAATATGGAGCACATGCTGTGCCATAAGTTACCGTTTTGAGTCTGTATAGTTCTATAGGCTTATCTTCATCTTCCTTCCAAAGTATTTTCTGATATTTGGTCTGCGATGGCAATATTTCAATTTGTCAAAACATCTTCTCAATATCGGCAGTAAATGCATAAATATGCTTTAACTAAAAAACCGTATCATGATGGAAAAAAACTCTTGAATCAATAAATTCCTTTACATAATAATGTCGTTACATATGTCGTTCAATGAACAACCGTTAGTAGTTTTGGCACTCGCGTCGAACACAACGCGTAACTTTGTTGTGTTTACTATCAGGTTTCAGCACGCCATGATGAGGAAGAAAATATCCTCCTTCAGTTTCAGAATAGTCTTCCATCTTCTCCTCCATATGATTTAATGATTCATATTCCCTTAAAAATGAAACATAAAGTTCTTTCATTACAGAATCACTCGACAAACGTTTCCACAACTGATTCAGTCTTTTTTCAGCGATTTCCTTTTGAATCCCCTAATTGTATGTTTTCACCAATATCTGGCTTGAACGGCATTTTAACCACATATCTTCAATCTGCATGCCGGTAAAATGAGTTTTTAAAAAGTTCGTTGCAATAATTTAATTCAGAATTAACTGTAGATTTAGTTTCATTTACTTCTTCAACTTCCCAGAATGACTTACTACTAATTATTTAACGAATTAATCTCTGTTGACAAAAAACAATAATTTAAGTCATAATTTTTTACATTTGGAATTCTAATCGTTCATCGTAAACATCGCGAAGATAAACAATCACTGTATTTATTAACACAAATTTAGATTTATTTGCAGCTGCCATCAAAGTTGTGGGGGGGGGAGAGGGACAGTCCTCTTTCCCATTCACTGACCAAAAGTTCAAGGTCAATTCATTTTTTTTCGATGATTCATTTTGTTTTTCGTCAATTTTATGTAACAGCGAATGATGTGTGTCTTTCTTACAGAAATAACAGCTAAATTTAGCCTTACACTGCGATAATACGTGTGATGGAGAAACGCATTTAATGCATAATTTATATTCTTTAACAAAATGATACCGCTCAGAAACAGAAATACTCTTAAATTTCGAACAATGATAAATTGGGTGTGGTTCTTTACACATAATACACTTTCGAAAAGGGTTTGTTTTAGTTACCAAGGTTTTTGAATTTCTAGAGCGACTTAATTGATTTGATACTTTAGTAGCATAGCTCTGCTTAGGAAAACTAACTTTGTTTATTTCTTCAAGAATACGAATTCTTTCTTCGAGAAATTCTAAAAATTCATCAAGTTTGGGAATTTCATTTGATTTTACGTTTAGTTCAAATGCTTTTCTAGATTCTCTATCTAATTTATGCAATAAAATATTTAATATCAAAACATCATATAAATTATTTCTATCAAATTCTAATACACTTAAAGATCTCAAACATCTTTTAACATTATCTACCAGTGATCTCAACTGAGAAGGTGAATCATTTATTTTTTCAAAGTTCAACAAATTATTGATAAAGGCATCAACTACTGCTCTTTTGTTTTCATATCTGCTTTCAAGTGCAGAAAATAGCGACTCAAATGTATCTTTGAAATGATTCTAACATTTTTGCTTCACCTTTAAGTGATGCTTTCAAATAAAACAGTTTCTCAGTATCATTTAAATTATTATTATTACCAATCATAGATATAAATTGCACTTTAAAATTTTTAAAATCTTCATATTTACCATAAAATTGAGGAAGAGGTAAATCAGGCAGTTTAAAATTTGATTTAGAAACAGTTTTGGTTTCAAATTTATCTGTATTATTTGTTTCACAATTAGAAAGAAAAATTCTAAATCTTACTTCGATCTCTTCGATGCTTTCTTCCAATTCTTGTGTAATGCTTAGATTATCCTTCAAGTCAATTTCCTCTGGCAAATTGGTGTATTCCACTATGAGTTGTTTAACCCGAGATTTCAATTCCAACAAAGAATCCAATTTAGTCTTCATAATAACATCATGGTTGAGTTTATTCTCCTCCATTTTATACTCTTCAAGGAATTTTATCAAAGCTCCGAGTTTCGTTTTCACTACGCCGCTTTGGCGATTCAATGAAACAATATTAGTAGCCATATTCTTCTCCGGCTAACGTGAGAGACCAAACTGTTCTTGCCGAAGATAGCTCAAACTTATTTAATGATACTTAACTTCAGTAAGTGGACTGTAATATTAACAATAACAATTTTATTTTAACAAAAACAACATTATTGAATACTAGCACACGCATGTGCTTATAGTTACCTATGTTACTTAGCTAAGAGCGAGCAACCATATGCTCTCACATCAAGTCAGAAATCATTCATACTAATAAAGCAAAAACGAAATAACTTTGGGGTTACACTAAAGCCAAACTCTGCTTGGCGTAAAACAATGCTGCCAAGCAATACTCTTTCAGATACCGAACACAGCGCAAGTTTTACTTTTTGTAAGATTTATTTCTCATTCAGGCCCTAAAGAAGAACGTTTAGGATTATTGCCACTCAAAGTTCAGACGCGTGGAGAAGATATCGCCAATGCTGTAATTGAGTGTATGGATAAACATCATATTCCCCTCGATAAAATTGTGTCAATTTCAACAGATGGGGCCAAAAGTATGACCGGTGTAAGAAAAGGGGTTGTTGCTATTTTGAAAGAAAAAATTAATCACGAGATACTTGTTTACCATTGTATCATTCACCAAGAAGCGCTTTGTGCACAAACATTTCCGGAAAAGTTATGGAATTAGTGATTACCATTATTAACTCAATTTTAGCTAAAGCTGTTAATCATCGCCAATTCAAAGAATTTTTATTTGAAATGGAGAGTGAATACGCTGATCTGCTTCATGACAAGGTACATTGGTTATCAAGAGGGAATGTTTTAAAATGTTTCGCATCCCTTTTTCTGGAAATTAAAGCATTTCTCCTTGAGAAGGGCATTCACTATCCAGAATTAACAGACGATTCCAAACTTTTATTTGATGGTAGACATTACGTCTCATCTAAATCAGCTTAATCATAAACTACAAGGGAAGGGAAACTTAATTTTTTCGATGTTACTTCTAGTAATAGCATTCGAAAACAAATTATCTATTTTTGGACCGGATTTTGAAAGGGAAACATTGTTTCACTTTCCGAGCCTGCTGAAGCATCGCCAAGAAAATATTTCCTCTATTGATAAACATCATTTAAAACAATAATTTTAAATATGAGCGAAGCATTTTTCAGCAGGTTTCAGGAATTTAAAAACTGCAGAGCAACTTTAGCATTTGTCAAAAATCCTCTTAATGCTACGATAACTGAGTTGAAATTTTCTCCTTTTGAAATTGACATTGGTAGCTTTGAAATACAATTGCTGGATTTAAAAAACAAGGAGGTATGGCGCTCTAAATTCTAATGCCTTTGTGTTGAATTGGAAATATTGGAGAACAAAAAATGTGGTCTGCTTTGAATGACCTGGAGAAGGAAGACATGATCATTTTCAACGCTTGGAATAGTATTTCTGACTCTTAGGATCAGCTGAAAAAGCTCACATTTGCTGTTCTTTCCCTTTTCTGTTATACATATATATGCAAACAATCTTTTTCAAGCATGAAAATTATAAAGAGTAAACTGAGAAGTCGTCTTATTGATGATAACTTTGAATCATGCCTAAAATTAAAAACAACATACAAACCTGACTTACTCAAACTTTCCAAGGAGATGCAAGCACATTGTTCGCATTAATAAATATTTATTAAGTATTAAATTTAGTTTTTTTTTAGTGTAATAAAAGTTTATTGAACAAGCAGATTTGGCTCCCAGTTTTTTTTTTAATTGTTGTATTGTTCATATTTGGCTCTTTGGCTAATAAGTTTACCAACCACTGGTTTAGAACATGGAGAAAAATGGGTGGGGGGATGAATGTAAATGAAAAATTTTATCCTTTACAGATAGTGTTCTAACATCCTGAACTTGGATGACATTAAGATTTAGTAATAAAACTTGCACTAGTTCTGGAGAAAAGTGAATAAAAAAATTCTATCCAAGATATCAGTCCTAGCTTGTTATATCTGATTTTCATAACTTTTGGATGTTTGCTATAGCAGTATAAAATAACATTAAGAGTATAGGAAAGTGGATGGGATCAAAAGGTACGTTCATTATAAGTCAGTTTTTTTTTTTTTTTTTTTTTTTTTTTTTTTTTTTGTAGTGGGGGTTAATAATACATTATAAATAGTACTTTGGAAATGAAAACTAATATTTTATTGTAGAAATTATATGAGGTATGTATATTTGCTCTGAGTTATTTAAATATTTTAATAGGCCTGTAGGTGTTTTTGAATGGGATAACTTTGCCAAAGGTACAAAAGCTGTTATGGATAAGGTTGTAGAAGTTACAAAATCTGGTGCAACGACGATCATTGGTAAGTATATAGTCACTTTATTAAAAATTTAATTCTGAATTCATGTTAGGGGGAAGAATTATATATCAAGTATACTTTAAAGTATAAATATTTTTAGTCTGCTGAATATTAAAAAAAAGTCTGTTTTAATACAATTCTGTTGTGTATTTTCTGTGTGCTTTATATTGTCAGAAATGTATTGAAAAATGTAGATATGATTTTTAATCTTAAAAAATTCTTGAATATCTTTTTACACAGGCAGTCATAATGGTCTGCAGAATTTTAATGTTTTAGTATAGCATACGTGAAAAGAATTGAGTAATGTAGTTAATGCCAAAGGAAAGAGAAATGTTTAAAAAATTTCAGAAACCTCCAAATGTTCATTGTTGCCTATTGTCACATTAGAACCGAGTCACATAATGTTGGAAAAGCATGATCCCTGTATGGAATGAAATTGAAATCAGTTTGTTATTTATTTGGAAATTTTGTCATAAATTAACTTAGAAGTGGCTTTAAATTTGTATCCATAAAAATATAGATGGTTAGTAAACTTAATTTTGTGTAGCATAATGAAGCAGAACTGTGCTAGCAGATTTTAACACCTGTGACAAATTTTGCAGCTTCTAAATATTCTATAACTGTTATATTGATGCACAATAAATTTTTTAAAAATTTATGCCCCCTATCCATTCACTTATACATTTCACTTACACATTTTGGCATAGTAGGTGCATACCAAATTTGATCTGGTTTCACTAGACACAGTTGTAATATGTAGCTGCTCTTAACTAGTAGCGATATATGGAAAAAACAGTAAATAGATTTTTTTAATGCTTCATAGAATTTCCAGTAATTTTAGTTTCCTTAATTTGTTGAATGTGTGTATCATTTTTCTAGTATTAAATTTATAATTCACGTTTTGGCTAATGCTTTAAAGCAATTTGTTTTGTATATGAAAACCTGAGAAAGAACATTTTTTTATTATCCTACAAATGCCCTTAGCATTTTTAATACTAATAATGTCCTCATCTTTCTAAAAAGTTTTAGACCTTTATCTTACAATATGATATAAATATAGTACAGTCAAAAGTCGTTAATTCGGACACCCATAATCCGGTATGATCTATAATCCATCCAGACCTCAAAGCTACAAACATTCCGCGCATGCGTCACGTGGTGCATGCGCGTAAGACCTTTACGGCTGCGAATATGCGTGTGCGCATACGCAAAATACGTTTACGAATGTGTGTTTAATGTATAATGGACAGTATAAGCTAAGCTAAAATTACCTAATTCAGTTAATGTTGCAGATTGCGTTGTTCTTTAATCTTCGAATTGGATTTGGCTTATTATTTTTTGCAGACTGTTAGAGGAATTTTATAAAAGTAAGCTTGAACTTTTGAATATGTCAAATAGAATTTCTGATATATATTTACTAATATGTAAAGGATCTACAAAGCGAAAGTATGTTTCGAAGTCCATTAAACAAAAAGTGGAATTGCTGCAAAAAATGGATAAAGGCATATCCTTTGTTTATTTAAACTTTAACTTTTGTTTATCTAAACTTTGTTTATCTTTAATGCATCCGCGTGCAATGAATTGGAAGTTGATCTGTCAGTACTATCCTTATCTTCAGGGCAGATGTTTTTATTTTATTTGACTTATAATTCCTTACTAAATGTAGTATTTCATCTCAATGTACTCCATCTTTGATATGATTTAAGTCAAATTCCTCGTCATTATAATTCGCTTCCGATGGCGAAGAAAGTGACAGAGGTTATTGAAAATGAAAAAATTTCGATTGACATATTAGTCGGTATTCTCGACACAGCAATTATAGGACTTGAACAGCGAAACTTTGTAACTGAACAAGAAATTATGTCTGTTTAATAGAATTAAAAAGAAAGTATTATCACATGAAACGAAGCAACTTAAACAACTTACATTGAAAGAAATGTTTAATAAAGTAAAAAAAATAAATATTAAGCCTTTTCTTTTTGTAAATTTTGATACCCTTTAGGTCATAATTGTTCTTTATTTCATAAATTACGGTTTCATATTTTTAATTTTATAATTTCTGCATGCTATCTTACCAGATTTACACTGATGATCTATAATCCGGAAAAATCAATAATCCAGAATCGCCAAGTCCCGACGAGTCCGGATTAACGACTTTTGACTGTATCTATTTTAACGTCATTATGCAGCCTTTGTTTTTGAAAAAGTTAGTCATAGGTCCAACTGCAAAAGTTTTTTAGTTAAGGAAACTATTCATGTTATTTTCGACATTAAAAAAAAAATAAGAAATTTTACTTTTTGGACAGTTCCTATGATCTCTGTAGTTTACTTATCTTACAGGTGGCCTCCTACATAGCCAGTTTGAGGGTGTTGCAATATGGAACACACAAAATCTTTATCTTTCAAATTTAATGTCTTAATTTCTTAACAAGCAGCAATTTAAAAAATGTATTCATATTTCTTTAAAAAATTAATCTTTATTTTTTATTAAAATATATAATTGCTGTAAACTAAAATACATTAGTTTATAATGATTCATAATTTTTTAAACATCTGTGATATATTATAATAATATAAGATATTTCTAACACATTTTACATGCTTGGTATAGATTATTTAGTTATATGCTGTCTGATTAATTTTCATTTAAAGATTAGAGATATTATTTATTTTTACCTGAATTACATTATAACATGCATTACTAAATTTTTTGTCTTGATAGAAGGAAACCCAGTTCATTAAACATTTCTGGCTGTAATTTTTCTGATTAAATTATGATAAATGCATTACTCATTTGTTCATTTTGATAAATTTAAATTTTTGTCGATGTCTGGCAGTTAGTATGATTTCTTATCCCCAAATTGATGGCCTCTAGTGCTCTTAAGTATCAATATATATTAACCTTCATTTTTATTGAAATTAATGCTAAATAGTACAGTAGAAAGTCATTAATTGGAAAATTTCACCTTTGGTTTGCGATATCCGAAAACCTTCAAATTCGTGGTTATCTTCATTATCCTCACCATGGTCGCTGGCCAAAATTTATACCAAGCATTTTTTAAAGTATCTGAAGACTTTTTAAAGTATCATCCTCCCACGATCTTGCGATGCTCCACACAGCACATTTTATGCAAAAATATTTCAAAAAATGTTGAACAGTCATGCCATTATTTAAGAAATTTAACAAGAATTTAAAAATGCTACTTTGTATTTGCATTTCAGCTTGTGCTGTGTTCCAATATCTATAGGAACGTACAATATGGAGGAAAGAATAATGCGGATACATTATCTTTAAAACTTTTAAGTGAAGTATGAACCATACAGTTGTCTACAATCAGAATAATTTTTGCATGATCAGGTAAACCAATCGAATTCAAATGTTGCTGAGCCTCGGGTATGAAATGATTTTCAAACCAATCATTCATTAACGCTTGTGTCATCCATGCTCTTTTGTTCGCACAATATATAACGGGGATAATCTTTACTCCTTTAAATGCTCGATGTCATATATTTTTTCTGATTACGAAAAGTTTACACTTGTGCATTCCTGCAACATTTGCGCATACTGAAATTATTAGTTTCGCTTTGGAATCTTTGACATTAGTCGCAGCCTTTTCTGTAGAGTTTGCCAAAGTATTTTGGGGTACATATTGCCAGAAAAGACCAGTTTCATCAGTGCTGTAAATTTGTTGAGATAACTTTTCACTGTTAGTGAGTTCAATAAATTTATCTGTAAATAGTTCAGCAACTTCAGTATCAGCTGTCATGAGACTTGAGACTAAAGACAAGTTGTTTCGTTAAATTTTGTCTTGCTTCTATCGTGCACTAAGATAATTAAGCCTGAATTCTCTTATTTTAGTTATTTATCACACTTGTGTCTGTTTCTTGCGTATGCTTAAATTCCCACATATACTTAAGCCTTATCGGGGGCACGCTCTAGATATCTTACCGCCTGATGCAGTCTCTGCGGGTCCTAAATTTTTCAAACAAGTGCCTGCCTAAGTTCTAAATTTTTGTCACCCCTAAATTCTGGGTCCCAGCGCTTTCCCTAAATTCCAAAAATTTTGTCTTCTCTAGGTTCTGCTGCCCGATGCGGCCATAAGAGCTCTGGCGCCGGGTCTGGGTAATGAATCAGTTATTCTTAATTCAAATAGCTCTGAATATAATCTTCCGGCCTATGAGTATCATTAACAAAATCTGTTTTCAGCATATGGAAAGAAATTTTCGTTAAATCTTTCCTCGTCAACATTTTTTAGACAATTAACTTAAATCTGTAATCACTGTTGAGCGTAATGTCAACAGAGAAGTTTACCATACTCTTTGTTATTCAGTTACTAATATAAAACAAAAAAATATTTCAGGCATCGCTGCATGAGTCATTGCAAAAGTTGTCATGTGCTGATAAACATGCAGTGATAAAAGCCAAGTATAATAAATAATGATTCATCAGGGATATAAAATATTAGTTTGTGTTTAAAATCAATGATGTTTCTATGTAGAACATTTCGGTTTAAGATGTGTGACAAGCAGGTATGCAGGTATGGAGTCAAATTATTGATAGCACAAATTTATGTTAAAATGATTGTTTCTTCAATAACAAGGTATTTTATTTAGTGGCAAAGTGAAATTAAGAATCGAGACTCTCCACATGTTTTATTATGGGAAAAAGTCATATGTGCATGCGTAAAGCATACCAAATAAAAAAGGGTTGGTGGGGGCTTTTGAGGTCTGGATTTTAGATCATTCCGGATATTGGACATCCAGATCTCGGACTTTATACTGTATTAAACTTACCTTTATAAAAATTATTGAGCTAATATGAAGATCAACAAAATTAATTATTATGTAATAAATTGCTGAAGTTATTCATTTTAAACCATAAGTAGTTGAGTCAATGTAGTGAATATAATCTTAATAACATTTCCCTCGCCATTTAGCATTTTATTTTATATATGCACACTCAAATTTGGATTAGATCCCTCTCTTATTTTAATGCTTCTTTTCAGTATAGATGGCAGTACTAAAATAATTAAATACTTTTTTAAATTATGTATATTTATTTAAAATGTTGAAATTGTGTGCTAGATATTGTATGTGACTTTCTCTACATATTTAAAAGTTGTTGAGCATATTTAAATTGGATGAAATTCATCTTTAAATTAACATTGATTTTGTAGAATAATTCTGCATTTAAAAAAAAATCAATACAATCTTCTTCTTCAGTGAACAAAAGTAGTTAATTTTATTACTCATAATTATATGCATTTGATAACATATGAAAGAGTAGCAAATGTTTTAATAAAGTGGTAGCACACCTGTGTTTCTGAAAGCATTAATCTAAAGCAGTAATAAAATACATATGCTAATCATCTATCTAAACTGGTAATCTAATTCTGTCATTACTGTATATATTAACTCATCTGTTTGAATCGTTGTTATTCTTGTTTATGAAATCACTATAATTTTTAATAGAGTTTGAGGTTATACTTCAGTATGGCAAAAAATTAGTTGTGGAAAATGTTTTATATTGGTCCATATAAAATTTCTCCATGGCTTTTTGGTACATTTTTAAACAAAAATTTTCTTTATTGAAAATCAGTTTTAATCAATTACTTATTGACCATTATTATCTATGACCTTTTGCCATTTTTCGGGTAGCTTCATAATTCCGTCGGTGTAGAACTTCTTGGTTTATCGTCGAAAAACTTCGCCAAGTGATTTTCAGCAGAGATTCGGTCAACCAATTTTTTACCATCAAGAAAGTTTTGCAGAGACCAAAGCAAATGGTAATCAAATGGTGGAAAGTCTGGGCTATATGGTAGATGTATCAAAACTTTCCAACCAAGTTCTGTCATTTTGTTCCGAGTCATGAAGGTTTTATGTGGCCACACATTGACATGATGGAACACAACTCCCTTTCTGTTGGCCAATTTTGGTCACTCTTTTTGGATTGCTTCGTTTAAATGGTCAAGTTGTGTGCAGTATAGAGGCGAATTGATGGTTTTGCCAGGTTGAAGCAGCTCGTAATGGACAATTCCTTTCCAATCCCACCAAACACTCAACATAACCTTGTTTGGCCACAATCCAGGCTTTGAAGTCATCTGTGAAGGGTCACCAGCCTTTGATCATGATTGCTTGAGTTTGATATTCTCGTATTTCACCCATTTTTCATCGCCTGTAATGATTTGCTTCAAAAATGGTTCGATTTCATTGCATTTCAGCAACATTTCACTTATGGTAATTTGGTCAATCAAATTTCTTTGTGTTAATTTATGTGGCACCCAAACATAGAACTTCTTTTTATAGCCTACTCTTTTCAAATGATCCCAAACTGTCATGTGGCTGATGTTTAGTGCCTCCGCTATTTCCTAACAGCTTCCGTGCTTGTCTTACTTCACCAGTGGCAAAATCTCATCGACGTTTTCAGTGACTGGCCGACCAGAGAGTGGTGCATCTTTGACATCGAAATTTCCGGAACAGAATCAAGCAAACCACTCCTGGGTCCTTCACCCATTCATAACATTCTCACCGTACACTTCACAAATTTTTTGGCTGTTTCCACAGTGTTTTTAACCTTTTTATAGTAAAAAAAAAAAAAAAAATTATATAGCGAACTTCTTTAGATATTTCACTCATTTTCAAATCAGTATAACTCTTTACACGAGCAATGAATTAATATACTATCTGCACAAACAATGGAAGCTGAATGTCACCTTTTTAGCACATGTTCATTTGAGACAATTGGGTGAGTGTTGGCTATATAGGCATCAACACCATCTAGTGGCAAAAAACCGCATAGACTTTTTATATGACCTTATATTTTCAGCTTCAGTAAATATAAATCTCTTAATTTTTGTTTATTAAGGTGGTGGGGATACTGCAACTTGTTGTGCCAAATGGAAAACAGAAGACAAAGTCAGTCATGTCAGCACTGGAGGAGGTGCAAGTTTAGAACTTTTGGAAGGTATACCATTTAGTTAATCACTTTAAATTTTTATATACTTACTATGAGATGAATCATTTTTCTTTGCTTATAGGTCCAATTAAAAAATAAATAGAAGTAAAAAAATAATTTGAAAAAAAGTAAAAAAGTCTTGTCCAAGTAAAAAAATAATTTGAATGTTTGAAGATTGTTAATTTTTTAGTAATTACACTAGACTTGAATTAACATCATCTAAATTTAATTAATTTAGAAGTTATTTAAACCTGTAAGTACAAGAATGTATAAAAAGGGTTCTCGAACTAGCTGTGTTGTCAAAAAGTACATTATTTACCTAACTCTAAATATCTTTTTCAAAATAATTACATATTACAGCAATGTACCAGTCCAATTGTTCCTACCATTGCTAGAATGCAGCCTTATTTTACATAAGGGTGTATTTGACCGTTGGCAGTTTGCACTGGATTTAGTCAAAAGTGATCATCCTGGGTAAGAAGGATGGATTATCCTCGGCACTGTAATAGGGATGTCAACACACTACAAAGTGATCTTCTTTCATTTCAGGGTTCAGCAGCTGGAAAACAAATATGCCAGTGACATGCCACTTGTTCAGTATGATTGATTATCAGCGCAGATCCTATAACCAACGATGTTCACAGTGTTATTGATTGCTCTCTGATAATCCACATGCAAAAAGCTCCTCAGTTCTTTCCAATGTATTTTTGGGGAAGGGGATGTGATATTGAAGAAGGTATTCGAGATAGCTCATTATGGTATTCTATCAATGGTATTCTTCCACCTCTGAAGTGCCTGTGCCACACAATGTTTCATACAGCTCCATTGACTCATTCCCATAATAGTTCTAAATATGGTCACTGTCTCTTTGGCTAATCTACCCAGTTTATTGCAAAATCTCACATTAACTCATTAGTCATCCTTTCTGTCCCTGACTTGCAAATCCATGTAATTACAAAAACACCACAATAATAACTCTAATGTTAACACAGATGTTTCTTGTCACACTGCCTTATCTAAATTCAAGGTCATTTATAACTGTGAGTATTGTGTAACCTTGAGTAGCTATCTGTTGTTATACTACAGAGCTAATCTAGAAATTTTTTAATGCATGATATATCTAAAAAAAAATTCCAATCTATCATTTTTCAAGAAAGATTCAGGAAAAAACCAAGTGCAGGCAATCGTTAGATAATGTAAAAAATGTTTGTTATATATTATATAACTCATGAGCATCCCGCACAATAAACAAACCTTTCTCAAAGCACACGTATTTTATGCAAGTTGTTGAGACTCTGAGTACTCGTGTCTTAGGTCAAACTCGTCATGTTTCCGAAGTTTTTCCGCTGGAGCTTTGATTCGGAGTCTTGATTTTGATCAGATCGGGCCTTTTAGACCCAGCACATCTATTCATATTAACTATTACATAGTTGATTTGTGATAGTATAGAAAGTGGCAAAGATTTGTGGTTTTGCAGCTGAGGATGGTGAGTGCTAGTTTCGACGGTAAAACCATCAAAACTAGTCGTGTGAAAATTTTGATTTTTGTTGTTTGACTTCTGAATTGGCAAACATATCTCGTAATTTATCTTGCAATGAAGAAATTTTGCAAAAGTTATTAGATATATCAATTGGCAAAGAATGTTTTGAATAAAATGAGGATGGAAGTGATCATGAAATTGTCAGACAGTGATATAGGTAGGTTCTTAAACGAGAGCGAGTAATGTTAACCACATTAAGGTATTGCTATATTGGAATTGTTTTATTGGAAAAAAAAGTGTCGTAAACAAGAAAAAAGGGTGGAAGATGCAGTGTTTCCCCAACAAAAAAGCACACAAAAACAAAAATGTCCTTCGCCAAATGTGAGAAATATTTGTATTTGGAACACATGAAAACACTTTCTTCAGTGTACTGCTAACATATGTAGTTGCATTTGGTCTTTGTCTATCACGCTAATAAAGAAAATAAGAATCGATACAGAATTTTGAAAATTTACAATATTTTTTCAAAAAACACAAATTGGCATGCTCATATAACTCATATGAGCACGCATGCACCTGGGTTAATTACTTTCAACATAAGCACTCTGTTTTAAAAACTCCTTTTTAACAAAAAAAAAAAAAAAAAAAAATCATACATTGCCTTTTGTGTTAATTTTAACCTTAATTTCAAATATAATTTTCCAAGCCTCAAATTGTTTTCACTTTGTGTATAGAAAAACAATTTAGTTTTTTTAAAGCTTTGAAAGTTGAAACTTGATGCCATCTTATGTTAGTTTTTGCTTTTTTCCTCCATGCTTGTAATAGTCCTAAACTTAAATCTGATGCAAGCAAATTAATGAAAATTAATTGAAATCAATTTATTGCAACTTAAAATATATATATATATTCATAGATGTTACTAATAGCATTGCTTTGTTACCAGATTTACCGACCAAGAAAAGGGAATAAGAATAATTATATATGTTGCTCCCCCCCCAAAAAAATACCCACCCTCAACAAAAACTCAAGTTGGAAAAGTTGTGAAGGGACCTTTATTTACAATTCATTAATGCAGAAAAATGATTATTCAGCCAGTTATGGGTGTCAGAATTTATAACATTATTTCTGTAGCATTTCATATAAGTAGCAAACAATGCAGATAATTAACTGGAAATCAAAGGAGATGTACAATGAATAGAAATGCAATTAAAGTCATTTTTATTACTCTATAATGTTTTTAATTAATGAAAATTTTTAAAATGCATTTACTGCTTTTAAAGTTGTGTATTTATTTGATGTCAGTATTAAATTTACACATTATACACTGACTACCAACAAGTAATTGGACACCTGTGATAGAAAAGAAAAACTAGCTTCATTCAAAATCAATAGTTGGTAGAGCCTCCACGAGAGGTAACTACAGCGTGGACCCTCCGGGGCATACTTTCCACAAGTCTTTGTATGACAGCTAGTGGTATTTTCTTCCACTCGGAGATGACATAGAAGTTCCTTCACCGATTTTGCATCGGTAGTGCACCCCTGAATTTAGCGATGCAACTCATCCCAGAGGTTATCGATAGGGTTCAGGTCTGGACAGGCCAGTCCATTGGATGAACTCCATTGGCACCATACCAAGCCTTGGTTAACGTCAAAACATGACAACTGGCATTGTCGTACTGAAAGTAACAGGGGTCCAACCCGTAAAACTGCCACAACGTAGGAAGCACATTGTCATCCAAAATAGTGCAGTAGGCATCGGAGTTGAGCTTACCATAAATGGGGACCAAGGGTTCCAGCCCATACCAGAAGAAACACCCCAGACCATAATTCCACCTCCGCTGAACTTGACTGTTGGTACAATGCATTCTGGCAGGAGACGTTCTCCAGGTAGACGCCAGACCCAGACCCTGCCGTCTGAACGGTCAAGGGTGAACCTTGATTCGTCACTCCAAAGAACCCGTTTGCACTGATCTACGGTCCAGTTTCGATGTGCTTTGCACCACATTAACCGAGCAGCATGGTTGGACTTTTTGATCAAAGGCTTATGGACAGCAGCACGACCATGAAAACCAAGCAGATGTGCTTCCTTACAGATGGTATTCATTGAAACAATACTCCCAGATGCCTGTTGAAACTCCTCGGGGATGAGGGTCATCGGTTGGGTGCGGTTCTTTCGAATTTCTCTGGACAGCACTCGTCGGTCTCTATCTCCCAGTTTCGTTGGTCTGCCGACTCGGGGCACATTTCGACAATCACCGCTCACCTTCCACTTCTTAATTCACATAGGCCACTGTCGATTTTGGGTACTTCAGATCGCTAGATATGTCCCTTAAGGATCGGCCGCATTTGTGCTACCCGATAATTATACCTTTCTCGAAATGAGAGAGCTACGAACTGCGAGGTATCTTGCATGCGACTAAAGCCGATGCTGTTTCCTACACGATATATACCGGCGGAGTCCGTGGCGTACCTTAGGACCGCAGATATCATCATTTGCATAGATGTCCAAATACTTATTGGTTGTCAGTGTAGAATGGCAAGCAGAATGTTAAAATCTTGTGCATTATAGAAGTTTCAATTTCTTTATTTAAGTTTCTAACAATTGCTATTTGGTCGATAAATAGTTGAAAGTAAATCAATTAAAATTAGTATTTTGTTTAACATTTTATTGCTGTTATAAATTGTTGCCTTAGTTTTTTTTAATATGCATTATTTTTTTATTCTTTTTTGTGTCTTTTTCAGGTAAAACTTTGCCCGGAGTTGCTGCACTATCTGATGCCTAAAGTTTCTGGTGTTCTAGAATATTTTCATGTTGAGTCTTTTCAAACTTTCCTATGTGTAAAATAACTATCATTACCACAAAATAAAGAGAATATTTATGTTCAGTATTATTCATGTTGGTGTTTTAAAAATAAAATTTTGTTTTGCCTTTTTGCATTATTTTGTATATCCTTTATGCAATCTGATTCACATTTTAAGTTTATCAACATAGTTGCAAATAAAATTATAATTCTTTAATATTCAATTTATTATTTTTGGTAAAATTTTATTCTTTCAGTGCTACGTCAGGCTCATTTATTGGAATTATTAACATCCTGTATTTTCTAAATAGTTCATCTTATCATTAGCCTGTTTCCAAATGTAATCTAGCATTTTAAATGTCAAATGCTGTTGACATGTATAAATGTTGTATCTTGCTATAGAAACATTTATGAAACTTGATTTTCCTAAGTGTTATTGATATAAGTCTGATTGAAATTCTGCCTTTATTATAAAATTAACAAAAATTCAAAATATTGTTATTGTTTATAGACATTTTTAATATTGTGTATGATTTAGGTAAAAATAGCATGGCAAATATTAATTTAGAAGTCAATCAACAAAAATTGGCTTTATATTTGCAAATTTTTCACAGGACTAGTTTCTATGGTTTTACCGAACCATCGGCCTCAGCTGCCAAAAGGCAAATGAAGGAGATAAGATATAGTGATAAGATAAGAATGGATGAATAGGAGTTAAGCTACTGGTGCTATCTTTCGATGAAACAAGAAAACTAAAACATAACTTCCTTAAGGGCTGAAAGTAAAGATGGATTAGAATTTGGGTCGTTAACTAAAACAGAGAGATTTAATGTGAAATCCCTCTAGAAAATCAAATTCACCAATGGAAGATGTTTTTTGAATAATTTTGGCTGCAGAAAAATGGAAAATGTGATTTTCGGACAAACTATGCCAGGCAACAGAGGACTTTTCCTTTTTCCTAACATATACCTCATGTTCTGTAATGCAAAACTTTAAGGCTCTCTTAGTTTGACCAATGTAAATTAAACCACATCGGCAAGGAATCTTGTAAATACCCCAGGAATTCATATCTGCAATGGGGTCCTTAAGTATGGAACTCAGGATTTTATTGACAGAATAAACGACCTGAAAGTTAAATTTCTGTAAAATATGTGCAGTTTTATAGCTAATTGATGGAGAGAAAGAAATACTAACAGAATTCTTATCTCCTAAAACAAGAATGGGCTTTTTGGCATGTTGAGACGAGAATTTTTTAACTGCTTCGGTTGATAATGTTGGGTGATGTCCCTATCAGTAGCTACTTCTTTTAAATAATTTAGTTCTTGATCAAGTGCCAATTTGGAGAAGTGCAGGAAAACAAAAGAATAAAATGAAGCTAACTTTTGTTTAGTTGAATGACATGATTTGAAGTGTGGTGGAAGGTTTACGGTAAATGGTAGTACTGAAGTTGGATGTATTACATGTGACTAAAATGTCAACTCGTCATTTTGGTTGGGAACTGCATGTTTCAAGTTCAAAAATGAACTGAATAAGCAGGATCAATGGAATTCATTACTGAAAGAACTTTATTTAAATAATCTTTATTACCATCAAACAAGGTAAAAATATCGCCCATGTAGTGTAACCATACTGGGAAGTTTAAAGTTTCAAATAATTTTGATTCATAATAATGCATGTAGATATCAGCCTGGATGGGACTAAGAGGGCTTCCCGTGGCTAATCCTTTAATTTGCTTGTAATACTTGTTTTGGAAAACAAAATACATTTGTTTCAAACAGAGTGTGTAAGGAAAATGAACTCATTAATTTCGATGCAGGAGAAATGAAATTCACGAAGTCTGGTTTCTAGACATTTTAATGTACCCTCCATTGGAACATTGATGAACAATGATTTTACATCAAAAGAAACCATGAGTCTGTTTCTAGGAGAAATGCTTTTAACTTTTTTTACAAACTCTGCGGAATTTTTTGTGGTGTAAATGTTATCTAATAGAGTTGAAAATCTAGGAACTAAATATTTAGCTAATGGATACTAAGCAGTTCCTAAATTTGATACAATAGGAGAGAAAGGGAATACCACTTTTATGAATTTTGAGAAGAGCATAATCTAGCACAATTCGCAACAGATGGGAATTGTACAAATTATTGCTGTTTGGCAGCTTGAAATCAATATTGAATGCTCTTTGGCAGCTGAGGATGATGTTTTGATAAAACCATCGAAATTAGTCCTGTGAAAATTTGCAAATATAACGCTGAATTTTGTTGTTTGGCTTTTAAATTAATATTCCGTATGATGCTAAATTGTGCAGTTTCCAGATTTTTTTTTTTTTTTTAGCAGCACTGTGTATGTTGGGTGAACAAAACTATTGGTCCATTCTTTCACTTAAAAAGACATTGGAGAATTCCATAAATGTGGCATTGAGCACAAATACAGCAAAGAATGATTATATGCTTTTCAACACGAAAGCAACTGAAAATCTGTGACAGAAAATTATTGTATTTATGCCCATTCTTCCTGCTTATTCGCAACAATACTCTTGCTGATGCAATGTAAATAGGCCACCCTATTTAGTGCTTTGATGCACATTGGATGACTGTCACCCTATTAACAGAAAACCACCAAAGTAGTTAACTGTAAAAATTCTTAATCATATCCCTGCCATCGCAGCAGCTGTAATTTACATCATATTCTTATTTAAATACTATTGGAAATTCACATAATCTTTGTGATTGTAAAATGTAGTTATGTGCTACTAAGAATTATTGCATTTCGCAATAAGATTTTATAAATAAAATATTTTTGTAAGTTATCCTGTATTTTAATTTGTAATGTAATGAGACACAATTTTTTGCATGAAAAATACTTATCAATGAAATATTAGACAAAACCTGAATTCTTCCCTGTTGTATTTAATATTTGTAAATCATTAATTATTTTTGAAAATTTTTAAGTAGCAGCTGCAACTTTTTCATTCAGAACAAGACATACTAAACAATTTTCTATGGAAATATGTGTCCATCAATGTTACTTACTACTAGATGCCATTAAATTAAATGTAACATTCTTGTACCTTATATAACAACAGTGTTCTTGTTTTCAAAGTTTTTATTTATTTCTTCTCGTTAGAAAGAATTGTTTTCAGGCAAGGTTTTAGAGAAAAAGTTAGTAATTGTATCTCTTGTAATTTTTGGAAAGAAAAATTGCCTCTTCTTTTCCCAGTTATTTAGCAACTGAAGAAAAGCTTTTGCAAAATAAAAAATTGTGTAAAAGTTGAAATCTGATGTAGTTGCTTAGGAGTGGACCAAATTTTCTATACTTTTAGTTTTCAATACAATGAATCCTCGCTGTTCCTAATGATTATAATGACCACTCTCTATTCCTAAAAATTTGTTTGGAACTAAAAGTCTTTTTTAAATGTGTAATACTTAGCAATGCTGGATATTGTATCACTGGGCCCAAGCTTGAATCCTGCAGAAAGCATAGATAGATATTTCTAAGTATGCTTGAAATACAAATGAATTAAAAAGTTCTGTCCAAAGGTTTGGTCATAGGGAAAGAGGGGGAGGAGACCATTGCCTCCATCCCATGGGGTGTTTTCTGTCAAAATTTGATTGGGGCTATACTATTAATTCTGTGGAACTACACTTGTACAACTAATGCTGAAATTCAGGTGTCGAACCAACTTCTTCCAATTCCGTAGGGGTATCTTGCGATGATATTCAATATTATTTGTTTATATTATATGAAATTGTGATGACTTTAATTAGAGATGATCATCTTAGGGAAGTACTCAGTACTAAAAGGTTCACAATGGTAGTTTTGTAACTTGAAATAAAATAATTTGCGAAGATAAATAACTTTTTCCCAAATATCTGTTTCTGGATTCTCTCAGTTTTGTCATTTATAACTTGCTTTTCTTATAATATCACATGTTACATACTCTAAAATATGATTTGTGGAACAGTTCCTTCAAAACTAGCAATGTAACCATATAAATTTTAAAAGTGTACAGTCAAATATGGCAACTATTCAAAATACATAATTGAATTAACATAGTTTATTTCTAATGATGAATGTTATCTTCCTGGGATTTTTGATTTTCACCTCCCAGTGTTTAATGCTGAGAAAATTTAATTGCCTAATAATGCATCTAAAAAATTATTTTACTCTTGGGAAAGAATGTTTTATATTTTTTCTGAAATAACTGAGGGTGTGATGAAAACCTGATCCTTGTGTTTTCTTACGCAACTTGGTTTGACGGAGGATGAAGAAAGAAGAAAAGATAAATTTTCAGTTACCTTGTGACTATTCATGTATTTTCAATAATTATTTTTCTTTTTTTAATAAATCTGGTGAAATTTCGTAATACATGGTGTCCCAGGATTATTGGGACAAGCTTTAAGGGGACATCACAAGGATTTAGATTTGCATAGCAACCCATGGTCGGAAACGTCATGGTAAAGTGTTATGATAGATGCAAGAAATAAAGACACAAGACTGAGATCATCTGAAATACTTATTGGTCAAAGATATTACATGTGCTGTGATCCAATCCATTAGTGACTAAAAACACCTGATTCAGATGTTCACGAACACATCTGCCGTAATGGGGAGGTGCCCCATCATGTTAAAACCGTGTACTGCATTTGATATGTTGTGGCACAGGATCAAGTAAGCTTAATAACACATCTTGCAAAATGATGAGATAATCCGCAGATGTTAGAAGTGCTGGCAACCAGTAAGGCCCGACACACCGACCACACCAGCCCAAACATGCACTGTAAAGCGATGTTGGGCAGCATGTGGTCTCATGCCATGAGGATTCTAGTCGGCAAATAAATGCACATTGTGGTGGTTGAACACAGCATCTCGCGTGAAGTACGCCTCATCTGTAAATAAAACGTAGGATGGGAAATGCACTTCTTGGCGACAATGGTCACCAAGAAGCAAAACGCACATGCTCAGGATATGTGTGGGTAGCAGTGACGGTAATCTTTGAAGGTGATATGCGTGTGAGTGTTCCATTGTAAAACACAATGAACACTACTCTGAGATCCTCCAATGGCAGCAGTAACGGCTGGTACTTGGATTCCTTCGAACGGCATCCAACACATAATGTTCCAGGCTGGGAGTTCA